TTGTGCTAAGGTCTGGGGCCTGTTAAGTCTGGGCCCTGTGAATGTTCTGCCACTAAGTTGTATCCTCAGAACTGTTTATTATTTATTTATTTATTGAGACAGGGTCTCATGTAGCCCAGGCTGCTCTTGAACCCCCATTCTTCCTGCCTCGGGTTCTTGAGTGCTGGGGTCACAGGTGCGACCCACCATGCCTGGGGAAGTATGCTGTGACAAAATACCCAGAAGCTTTAGAAATGCTGTTCAGACTTCCAAAGGCTTCAGTCCTGCATGAGGAGGGGTTGGGGGGGGGGAAGTGGCCAGGAAATAGAAAAAGCCGCCGGGTTCTTTCCTTTCCCTATTGTACCCCACCCCTACTCCCAGCCTCTGGGCCAACACTGCCCACACCATTCCGAGCACAAACGCTGGTCTTTTTGGCAACTCCCTCACCTTCGTGCCCAGAGGCACCTGGCTTTACTATTCCACGCGTTTCTCAATCCAGATAAGCAAGATTAAGCACCACAGAGTATCGTTTTAGTTATCTTGACTGTCTTTGTTTCAGAGTTCCAGATCACAAAACGGGCAGTAGTAGCAGCAGAGACTGCAATGCCAGTTACAAGGAGTGTTAATAATTTAATGCTGGCTTAGCTCACTGTAACAATACCCACAGATTACTCCACAGATTACAAATTCTAGTCAAGGCGTTGATAATCTCTGACCTGCGAACCAAATCTCTCCCATGGCCTGTTCTGTGTGATTCATGATCTAAAATGTCTTTTGTGTTCCTAAATGGCTGTGAGGGAGAGAGGAGGAGTGGTCTAAGACAAGAGAAACAGCATTCATGGGATCAACAGTTCAAAGTTATCCTTGCCGATGGAGAGTCGGAGGATAGCCTGATCCATACACACCAAATAAGATTCACATTGGTGATGGCAATAATTAGCTCCAAATCTTTTTATTTTTGGGGGGTTGGGTGTAGTAACAGTCTTGGCTGTCTGTAACTTGCTTTGTAGACCAGGTTGGCCTCAAACTCACAGAGATCCACCTGCCCTGCTTCTGAGTGCTGGGATTAAGGGCGTGCGCCACCACTGCTCCGTTGGAATTTATTTTCATACTAGATAGAGATGGTACTATTTTTCCAAATAAGCAACCAATTTCCCCAACACTTGTTATTGAACAACTCGTAAAGCTATGATCTGAACTATTATCTTTACTTTTTAATATTCATTTATTACTTAATGGTTATCATGAAGCCAGGCTTTGAACTCCTGATTCTCCTGCCTCTACCTCTGAAGTGCTGGGATTAGAGAGGAATACACTATCTCACCCTGCTCAGCTTTGGTTTTTGTTGTTGTTGCTGATTTTTAGACACGATCTTGAAAATTAATAGTGTCAGATGTCTCTGAATTCCTGAGTCTCCTGCCTCCACCTCTCAAAGCTGGGATTACAGACATTTGACATCACACCCAGAATGTCATCTTTAATCCCACACCAAGTTAAACCTTACTTGTGGGTGTTGTTTCTGGGCCCCAGAAACAAAAGAAAGAACTCATAACAACCCTCTCTATGTGCACAACACTTACCACCTGTACCTCCAGGGGTGTCCGTCTATAAACATGCTGTCATTCCCAAACATGTCGTGCGCATTCCCAGCTGCCTTGGGATGCAGTGGCTATAGACTAGACATGCGAGATGGAGATCTTCAGTGACTCCAATAAAATTCTAAAAACTCACAACGTTTCTTTACAAATACTTTTGTTTGTTTGTGGGTCTTCTGTTTGCTAGGGTTATATACCACCATGCTTGATATGGGTGTGCATGATACTGTAACAGAACATATAAAAATTTATACTGCCAGCTGTACAGGCTCAAACTTACACGTGCTCAAAAGAAGCAGAAAGCCAGGGTGGTAGGTGGTAGGGCACACCTCTGACCCTAGCACTTGGGAGGAGGCAGAGAAGCAGCTGGATCTCTGTGAGTCTAAGGCCAGCCTGGACTACATAGTAAGTTTCAGGCCTGCCAGGGCTGCAGAGTGAGACTCTGTCTCACTATCTCAATAAATAAATAAATAAATAAGATAGATAGATAGATAGATAGATAGATAGATAGATGCTTTTGAGCCAGATATAGTTGTACATGCCTGTAGTCCCAGAATTCCTATAATCCTGGTATTTGAGAGGCTCAGGCAGGTGGATGCCTGACTCCAGTCCAGACTACACAGTGAAAGCTTGGAAGCAGGGGTGGAGAATGACCTCAGCCTCAGGGCATGGTGGGGCACGCCTGCAATCCCACCGCTGGAGAGAAACCAGAGGACCACTGCATGCTCAAGGCCAGCCTGTCCCGAAAACAAAATGGGAAACAAACCAAACAATCCAAAATCGAAAGTGAGTTCTAATGGGGCTTGCCTTCCTTGAAAACCAGATAAAAGGCCTAGTCTGTAGCTTTCATTGTGGGGAGTCACTGATCTTCATTCTGTTCATCGGAAGAAGGGAAGGGTGACGCAGATTTTTACGTGTGACCAGTCATGTGAAAATGACTTTATGCTTTGATCAGTATTTTTGGTAGTTTTTTTTACAGGATTCCAAAAGCATATTCGGAAAGCAGGACACAACGTCATCTATTGGCTAACAGCAGGGATGTACTCCCTGTCATCTGCTTGCTAACAGGGATGTGCGGATCTCCCCGAACTACTGTGCATTTTGGTGATTCCTTCTGACATTTAGAAGTTAACTGTGAAAAGGCAGGTGTGCTGGAGACAGGGTGGAGGAACCAAACACAACTTAAACTAGGCAGCTTTGCTGTCCTTTCATGGGGTGTGGGTGGGAGGGGCCAGAATCTGGTAATTTAAGGTGACAGACACCAATAAGTGTTTTTGAATTTAAAAGCTGCAGTAAGCAAGGCCATAGTTAAATTACAGGAGGACAAAGAGGGATAGAGAAAGACTGAAAGGTGTCCTCAGGTCAGCCTGCGCCACAGCCGGGCACTGTTCTCAGAGCGCTCCCTAGAGAGGCTTCCCCCACCGAGTGACATTTGAGGTATTAAGCGTGTGAGAGGAGACTGGACACCTTGAGCACATGATCCTTCGGGGCTGGTGGTGTGCTCTTCCTGCTGAACTAGTTTCTTATCCCAGAGGCCGATCCCTGAGCTCTGGTGTTCTGTTCCCCAATACTCTGCAGCCTTCTACCATTCCCTGAGTCAAAAAAACAAGGAAGAACGAACAGATCAGATTATGCTATGGGGCATGCAGTTTAGCTTCTGAAAACTCAGCGTGGGAGAAGAGGAAGAAATCTGAATTTACTGACGATAGGGCCCAGGGGTCCTTTGCGTTAATCTGCATCAAGTGTCTAAAGAGGCAAAGAGGCGGGGCTTAGCGCGGCCGAGAAACTTGCCTGTTACTCATGGTTAATAAGTCAAAAAGGAGCCAGGGATGGGGGCCCACACCTTTAATCTGCACTCGGGAAGCAGAGGCAGGCAGATTGCTATAAATTCTTGGTCAGTCTGATTTACATAGTGAGTTCCAGGACGTCTGGGGCTACATAGTGAGACTCTGCCCCCAAAATAAGTAGATAGCTGATAGACAGACAGACAGACAGACAGACAGACGGACAGACAGACAGACAAGACTCATTGCTGTTGGGAAGGAGTCCAGATGGAGAGCAGGGAGTTAAAAGGTGAGAACAGATGATATCTGAATATGGCGGAAATGCATTACGTACAAGCATGGACCGTTAAATAATAAGATTTAAAGCATTTTATAAAGAAAGAAAGATGGATTGCAGACAGACTCTGACTTCAAAGCTGGTCCTGCCACTGTGAGTGCCTCCGCCTGGATGTCTGCCCCCTTCCCAGTCGTGCGTGCGTCATCTCCCTGACTTCATACCATCCCCACCACAGACTTTAGCCTCAAACAATTTACTACTCAGCATATTCAGAAGCCAACACAATCCCAAAGGTTTGTCTCTGCTGAAGGGCTTGTGTGTGTTTTTAAAATCCTACATAGAAAGCTGGCTGGGGAGGGAAGAGGGTCATTTTAGTTAGTAAGGAAATGTATGAGCTGGGCGGCAGGGAGTGTTCTCAGAAGGACAATCACTCCACCCTCGTTTATTAGGCTGCCTGGAAGCAGCGCTCAGGAAATCCCCTTCCTTGACTTGTGGTATTTGTGTGGCTGTTGTTTGCAAAGAACAGAATCTGTTCTCAAGCTTTGATATTTCCAAGTGGCTTTGTTTTTTAATAGAATATAGTTTCAGTTATTCTTAAAGGTTTCCACACACGATGCAATTTTATTTTTGTATTCTGGAAAATAAAAGTACATGAACAAAGATTTTTATTTTATTTATTTATTTATTGATTGGTTGGTTCGTTGGTTTTTTGAGGCAGGGTTTCTCTGGCTATTCTGGAACTCACTCTGTAGGCCAGGCTGGCCTTGAGCTCACCTGCCTCCTGAATGCGGGGATTAAAGGTGCGCACCACTGCGTGACAGAATGCCTAATTCTTTTGTCATTGTTTTGACACTGATCTTATGTAGCCCAGGCTAGCCTCAAACTCACTATGCAGATGAGGAGGACCTCGTCTACACAGTGAACTCCACCTTTAATCTCAGCACAGCACTCAGGGGGGGTGGGCAGAGGGAGGCAGATCTCTGTGAGTCTGCAGGCCAACCTGATCCACAGAGGGAGGCAGATCTCTGTGAATCTGCAGGCCAACCTGATCCACAGAGGGAGTTCCAGGATAGCCAAGACTACACAAAGAAACCTTGTCTTGAAAACCAAAAAACATCAAAAACCACTTCAAAAGTGTTTTCAATTAATTTTTTATTTTATGTGCATTGGTGTTTTGCCTGCATGTATGTCTGTGTAAGTATGTCAGATCTCAGAGTTACAGACGGTCGTGAGCTGCCATGTGAGTGCTGGGAATTGAACCTGGGTCCTTTGGAAGAACAGCCAGTGCTCTTAACCACTGAATCATCTCTCCAACTCCTTGTTTTTGTTTTTTAACAAAGTAAAATCAATTATCTTCTCACTAACCAGGTTGTCAGAAGGCTGCTTGCTGTGTGCCGGATCACCTGACTTGCTCTCTGGAGTCCATGTAAAATCAGGGCGTGGTGGTGGGCAGCTTTAAGGCCAGCATTCCTGTGGTATAACAAGAGGCTGAGGCAGAATGGTTTTCTGGAAACTCTGAGGCTAGTTAGCCTTGAGTATGAAGCACAATAGCAAAAATAAGACAGATTCTGTCCCAAGGAAGTAGAAGATGAGAACTGACTTCCAAAAGTCGTCCTCAGACCTCCACACATGGTGTGGTGCAGGCGTGCGCATGCGCGCACACACATGCGCACTCACACAAATAATTCTTTTAAAAGGTTGTGATAGACATATAAATAGATTAGAATGTCCAAAAACAGACTCACACAAACACTTAACTTAATTTGTAACAAAGAAGCCGATGTAATCCAACCAGGACACTACAGCCTTTTTAACAAAAGATGCTGAAACAGTCGGAGATCTCCATTGAAACATTTTAACTTTCACCTACACCTTGTGTCAAAATTAACTTGATATGGCTAACAGACCTATAAACTGAAAAAATTTACATACAAATGCAATTTTAGGGCAACTCCTTCTTCAGTCTCTTGACTACAGGGAATTACTGTCTCACTTCTCAGTAAGTGGCTCCCTCCCGGTGGTCAGGAGACTGAAGAACGAGGGGGGGAGTGTTCTAGTTTTCAAAAATGCTAGATGTGGAGGCACATGCCTTTAATCCCAGCACACAGAAGGCAGGAGGAAATCTGTGAGTTCGAGGCCAGCCTGGTCTACAGAGTGAGTTCTAGGACAGCCAAGGCTACAAAGAAAAACCCTGTCTCAAAAAACACTTGAAAAACTAAACAAAACAAACCCCAAAAACAAACACACACACACACACACACACACACAAGGTATTCCAAGTTTCAGGAGTTACTTACGTGTAGACCAGGAAAGGCTGTTTTCTTCCTCTCTCTCTCTCTCTCTCTCTCTCTCTCTCTCTCTCTCTCTCTCTCTCTCTTTCTCTCTCTGTCTCTCTGGTTTCTCTGGGATCAGGGTGCTGCAGAAGGGCTTTTTTCAAGTACTGTTTGGTTGATGACTCAACCCCTTCAACTCCAGGAGGCAAGGAGGAGAGAATAGGTCTCTCTCTCTCTCTCTCTTTCTCTCTCTGTCTCTCTGGTTTCTCTGGGATCAGGGTGCTGCAGAAGGGCTTTTTTCAAGTACTGTTTGGTTGATGACTCAACCCCTTCAACTCCAGGAGGCAAGGAGGAGAGAATAGGGCTGAATGGATCTTTGTCTGTGGCTAACAATCTTCCAAGGAAAACAGAATGAACTCCAGATGTTTGTGTAACAAAGGGATGTTTGATGGACTTTAAACTGAAATGCAAAGGTGTTGAGGCTGGTAGACTACAGTCGGACGATTATTTAATATTTGCAATTGCTATGGGTCTTTGTACATTGCTGTGACAGAGAGGGTTTATTTGGGCTCATTTTTAGAGGGTTCAGTTCATTATGGTGGGGAGCAGATGACGGGAAGATGGTTCTCTCCTGGCCTTCTCTTCCCCACTTGTATTCTGTCCAGGGCACTGGCTTATGGAATGGTGCCCCCCTCATTCAGGGTATGTGTTCCCCCTCAGTTATTCTTTTATCAAAATGCCCTTAGTGGCACACAGGTGTCCTCATTCATCTCTCTCTCTCTTTTTAATAAAATAGTTTTTTAAAAATTATATATAGATGTCTATATGGGGGTATGTGCACATGAGTGCAGTTGCCCACAGAGGCCAGGAGAGGGCACTAGATTCCCTGGAACTGGAGTTACAGGAAGCTGTAAGCCCTTGATGTGGGGACTGGGAACACACCCTGAGTTCTCTTCCTCATCTCATAAGTGATTCTAAATCAAGTTTACAATAAAGACTAAGCATTATATACTGTTTTTAAAAATTATAGGTGGCCATTTGTTTGACTCAGCTCTTACGCTAGCCCACAACATGGAGTCTCTCATGCTAAATGTCACATATTCAAACTGATATTCTTTTCCTAAAGATGTGAGAATGAAGCTGTAGTCTAGTGAAATCCCCTTTGGTCTGGTGTGGTGGCTCACACCTTTAAGTTCAGTACTTTGGGAGGCAGAAGCTGTCAGGACTCTGTGAGTTCTAGGCCAGTTTGAGTTTCTACATGGTGAGACCCTGTCTCAAAACCAAAGAAAGGCATTCCTTTTGTTTTAAGTCTTACAAAGTAAGAGGTAAGCCAGCTTTGTGTATGTGTGGTGTGGTGTGTGCGTACGATGGTAATGATGGTATGTGTATGTGTGTGGTTATGTATGTATGTAGGGTTGTGTGTGCGGTATGATTGTATTTGTGTGCTGTATATGACTGCATGTGTATGTGTGGCTGTGTGTGGTGTGTGTAAATTATTGTATGTGTATGTATGTGGTTGTCTATGTGTGTAGAGTTGTGTGGTATGGCTGTATTGTGTGGTTGTATATGTGTGTAGGGTCATGAGTGTATGTGTGCATATGTGTGTGGTATTATCGTGTGTGTGTGATTATATACGTATATAGGATTGTATGTTTGTGTGGTGTGTATATATAGTTGTGTATATGATTGTGTGTAGTGTGTGTAGTTGTGTTTTGTCTACATGCATGTCTATGTGCCACGTGTACCTGCTGCCCACAGAGGCCTAAGAGGGTATCAGGTCCCCTACAACTGGGGTCACAGATGGTTCTTAGACACCATGTGGGACCTTGGTCACTGCAATGTTCCTCTCTGGGGCAATCTTGTACATGTTGATCATGATGAGCGGCTCCTTTGAGCTATGCTCAGTTTCCTCAAGCCCATCTGGTAAAACACACGTTCCCCCTCTTGTTTTCTTCAGCATACACTGTTTCCAGGTGAACTGCTTTCTCAGTGACAGTCTCGCCCACTTCCAGGCCAGGAGATCAGCCACTTGCTGGGACAGGTCCTACAAGCTGGCACTCCAGGAGGCTACATCAGGCACTGTAGGTAACTGTTGCAATGGTTTTCTTTGCTAGCAGAGGCTTAGTGGACCACACTTTATTGTTACTTTGTTGTTGTATGACTCTGGGTCTCCATCCTAGGCTGGCCTCAGACTCCTTACATAGTAGAGCAGGGTCCTCAACCTTCCTAATGCCACGACCCTTTTTTTTTTTTTTTCAAGACAGGGTTTCTCCGTAGCTTTTTGGTTCCTGTCCTGGAACTAGCTCTTGTAGACCAGGCTGGCCTCCAACTCACAGAGATCCATCTGCCTCTCCTCCTGAGTGCTGGGATTAAAGGCATGTGCCACCACCACCCGGCTTGCCACGACTCTTTTATACAGTTCCACATGCTGTGGGGACCTCAACCATCCTATTATTTTCCTTGCTACTTCATGACTGTTATGAATTATAATGTAAACATCTGTGTTTTCCAATGGCCTGTGAAAGGGCCCTCTAATCCCCAATGGGATCATGACCCACAGGTTAAGAACTGCAGTGGTAGAAGATGGCCTTGGCCTTCTGACCCTTCTTCCATCTCCCCATTGCTCAGACTACATCTGCCACCACCGCATCTAACCTTTTTGTCTGTTTGTTTGAAAATGGGTCTCCCTATTTAGTAGGCTAGCCTGGAATTCATATGTAGACAAGGTGGCTCAAAATCATAGAGATCCACCTTTCTCTGCCTTCTAAATGCTAGGATTCATGCAAAGGTGTGAACTGCCACAACAAGACAAGTTCTCATTGGTTATCCCAGGATTGCCTTGAATTTGTAATCTTTCTTTCTTGCCTCAGCCTCTCAGGAGCTGAATATTTTATTTTTTATTTTTTTGTTTTTCAAGACAGGGTTTCTCTATGTAGCCCAGACTGTCCTGGAATTTGCTTTGTAGAACAGGCTCACCCTCAAACTCAGAGATCCATCTGCCACCACCTTCAAGAGCTGGATTTGAGGCACGGCACGTATCTTCATGCCTGACTTAGGAAAGCCTTTTATAAAATGTGTAGCTGTAAGTCCACCAGAGATGCCACATGAACTCTCTTAAAGCCGAACAGAAGTCTTTATTGCCAGCTGGTGGCTGCATGGGGAACTTTCCAAAGTCAAGCACCCCAATCCTTACAGTTGTCTTTTATGCTCACAAACCGCATCCCGGTTAACACCCTGTGGTTAGCATAAACCATGAGAAGCAGAACAACAGAAGGCAAAGAGTGAGGTTAGTCCATGCAGGGCCTTCCTGGATTCTGGAGCCATGGACCAGGTCTTTGTTGCTGTGTTGGGCCTTTGCTGGGTTTTAAGGTGCCCTAAATGGTGGCTCTAATGCGGTATCAGTTGTGCTAAGGTCTGGGGGCGTGTTCCGTAGTCACTCCAGCATCACTGATTATTATACATGCACCATTAGAACAGATATAATTAAGTTCACCTTTCAAATACTTATCATTCAAATATTTGTTTGTCACTCCAGCATCACTGATTATTATACATGCACCATTAGAACAGATATAATTAAGTTCACCTTTCAAATACTTATCATTCAAATATTTGTTTGGTTTGTTTTATTGAGACAGGGTCTCATGTAGCCCAGTCATGCCTTAAACTCATTAGGCGGCCAAAATGGCCTCTGATCCTCCTGTCTCCTGTACTGGGATTACTGGCTTGTGCCACAGGACCCGGCTCAAATACTCACTATTAAAGTCACGTTTTTTCAATGTTCACAGATTATTTTCATCTTCCTTCTTTCCATTTCGCTTAAGTGGCTGTAGAACAGTTTATGAGCACATGTTCCAACCCGGTGCAGAGGCCTGAGCATGGGAGCTACAGACCAGTCCTCGGTGGCTGGCCAGGCCCTCTGGTCCTCACTCAGAAACTTGGAGATAAGCAGAGGGTACCTACAACCTTCAGACTAGGCTTCTACCTATGGCTGGGCAGCAGTGAGCTCAGGAACTAGTGTGGTCTACTGCCCTGAAATTCCACTCGGCCATGGCCTTTTCCACAGTGGACTGCTCTTCCTTCTCAGTCTCTTCAGGATCTCTGTGGAAATCAGGCATGACTTCCCCTGGGTGCTCACAAGAGATGGTGCCACATATGTGGTAGGTGCGGGGCTTCCAGGCTACCAGACCAGACCCACAGGACGGCTGTTGTTGCAAGGCACAGCAATGTCCTCATAGCCTGGAGGAGAATCTGTTACATGGAGAGATGGTAGTGCCACAGGTTGACACTTCTGTGAGGAGCTGATAGTCAGCCCTGGAATCAGCCACTACCAGAAGTTGTAGCTCCATGAAGGCTGTTTTGGTTAGGTTAGAGAAAGTCCCAGGAGTGAAATAGCCGTCACTGGAGAGGATCCAGTGGCATCCGGTGTTCCTGAAGGTGATGGTGCTGGCATCAGGCAGGTTTAAAATGGCTTCAGTGCAGCAATGGCAGTGGCCACCAGCGACAGCTTTCCCAGGTTCTCTTCAGGTTTGTGATGTAGATGCCATCCATCTCTTTTCCTTGTATATCTGTACCGTTCTCTCTGGAAATCAAGGTTGGTGCCACCTAGGTGGGCTTTGGCTACAAAGGACCCAGGGTGACTCCTTCATTTGCAGAACATCCAGGCTCCAGACACTGGGTGAAAGTTTCCCTTTGAATTATGATGGGAATCAAGAACGACTCTGTATCACCTGCTCCCCCCACACCCCCAGGGAGGCAGAAAGGGCTGAAGCCACATTGTAAAAGCAGACAGACAGTATGTTTGTCCTTCTGTACTTGTGGCACTGTGGTGCATGTGAACAGTTACCTCTGTCTACTACGTTTCCTTCCTTTAACTATGTTATGCCCTTTGCTAGCAGATAAAGGCCTATGGCAATATCAGTATTTTTCTCAGCTTACACACTAATTGAAAGTTGCAGGCTGATTTGGACAAGAAACTGCTCTTGCCTGGACTGCTCGACAGCATACTGTATGCACTGGACATGCAGGACCCACAGAGAAATGACTGCTGAACTTGCCAGAAGGTGAGACAGTCCTTCGGGGTTCCTGTTTCATGAAAGAG